CTCACACACACCAGCTCTCAGTGGGGAGGAGAGCAGGGTGATGTAGCCAGTTCAGAGAGGAGTTAAGTGGTTAATTACCCCAGAAAACCTGGGCCGTCGGGTCCGTACTGAGACCCTCGGTTCTGAAGCACCGCGGGGGTCAGCCCGAACCCGAGCCCCAGCCCCAGCCCGGCTGCGTGGGCTCAGCTCCTGTCACGGACATGCGTGTTCTTGTGCGGACATGTTTACCGACCTATGACTGGGACGGCCTAGACGATGTTCTTTTTTCAGCGCCCCTGAAACAGACTACTTTCTGAACCTGCAAGTGAAGGTGTACTATATACATTATCATACTCACACCACGTTCAGAAGTACTGCTTAGCTTACCCTGGCACCGTCCCGCGGTAATTGTACGACAAACTACAGACAGAACCCAGGCAATTGCGCTAAAACATATTTCATACGGTCCGTAAATCTGTCCAACAGCCCGAAATGTTTCAGATGGCTTTTACGCGATTCTCAGGCAAGCGGTTTAATTAAAGGTACGTGTCCGCATCAGCTCCGGCCGCTCCCCTCTTGATGAGCTTTACAATTAGCAGAGCGGGTCCCGGACGTCCCCTTTAACGGGGAACATTCGCCGACACAATGTTCGGAATTCCTGTAACCAAACCCGCGACCCCGCGCCCTCGCCCCTCCCCCGCGGCTGCAGGCGCGTGGAGTGGGCCTTTGCCAGGCAGGAGGAGGTGGGGGGGGCAGTTTGTTTACTTTCAGCGAGCATCGACGGGCTCCGTGGAGTCTGCCGCTGGAGAATCATTTGTAAGGCAAAATAATGAGTGGAGGTTCATTTGTATCAGCTAAGCCTTGGGCTGCAAAGCCCACAAAAGAGAAGATACTGCACACCTCTGCCACTGCACGAACCTTACAGGATGCTAGAATAGAGCACATTGTGTTTAGATTGCACACTAGGCCGTGCGCGTCACACTCAGTGTAGCCTAGATCAGAATGCACCACCTGCAGACCTGAATATCCAGATGAGCCGGGCCAGTGTAGCGGTTTGTATCGAAGGGCCGCTCGAGAGTGGATCGGACCTGGAAGAGGCAGGCAGATGACATCACCAGCCCAGCTACAGCTCCTGCACAGCGCACACTGCATCCAATTCCCCGCTGTTGAAGGTCTCGAGTAGCTAATGAGCCTGACTCTTCCCACAGGATCGGCAGTACCAGGAAGTGTTTGGGCTGCAGGGCTCTCTGTGGTGCTTCTGTGCGCAGTGCTGTGCTGTACTGACAGGCAGAGGAGGCACTGATCGCTGCAGCACAGAGCACTGCCAGGCAGAGGAGGCACTGATCTCTGAAGCACAGAGCACTGACAGGCAGAGGAGTCACTGATCTCTGAAGCACAGAGCACTGACAGGCAGAGGAGTCACTGATCTCTCCAGCACAGAGCACTGACAGGGAGAGGAGGCACTGGTCTCTGAAGCACAGAGCACTG